ATTTCTAATGGGTGAAACCACTTTGATGTGAGTATAAAACCATTAAACAAGGAATGTGCAGTTTTGTGGATTAAGATTTATCAGGTGTTTGTGGAGACTAGTTTAAAAATCAGATTTAATTGATGACTTTTCTTCAAGGATGCTTTGTATTTGTGTAGTCAGCATCCATAATTTTAAAATAGCTTACTGGCATCTCACAAACACAGGAAAGCTGGCATGAGGCAGCCAAGGGTGGAACATTTCTGTGTCAGGATAAAATGGGTCATAGTTTGCATATGCTCGTTTTTCAACACTAACTGTAAAGGCAATTTTTAATAAACTTAGATGTAAGTGCCTAAAGTTAGGTGGCTCTCCGGCTTATAGTGGTGTAGTTCAAGACACTTCTGTTTTCTAATGGAGTGAGCAACCTTCCACAGTCCTTAGTACCACCCAGTAATGACTGGTGTTCTGGTATTACATGCTTGTTTCTGGTATATTTTGAGACATGCTAACGTGTACTAGACTGTGACTGCTAAATTCTTTCAAAGCAAGGCTTGATTCTATGAACTTGTCCAGATGACTGAAATTATTTTATTTTGTGTGAATCTAAAATGCTAAAAAGTTTGATAAACTTCTTCCCATCTGGGACTGATTTATTCACATCTCTGCAAATGCTGATGCATTAATCAGTGTTGGCCCCTAATTTTGGAAGATGATAAAGGGTACCATCCTTAACATGTGGCTGAAAGGAGCAGTTTTCTCTGTCCTCCCATTGATAAAATCCTCCCTGCACAAGCACTTTTATGGTAAGCTGTTCTATCTTCCTAAACAAAGATCATTGCTGATAGAGATAAGTAACAGCAGTGCTATATATTTAAATAGTCATACAAATTATTTTAAATAAAACTGCTAAGTAAGTTCAGGAGTTAGGCTGTTACAACTGTGGATATTCACAGATAAAAATGATTGTGCATGAGCATGCACTCAGATTTTCCCTGGAAGTTCTTTTGGAGTAACAGTTACTTCATCTCTGCACGTAACCAATGTTTGTTGTCTAGTACAGACTGAAATTTGAAGCACTGAGGTTAATTGTATACCCATTCATTAACCTTGAATGCTTATTTTAAATTACATGGGGTCTTATCAGTTAATACAAGAAAGAATTTATTAACAATGAAAATTTTGGGATGTGTGTGCTCTGTTGTGAGTGACACTTTAGTGTTCATCCCAGCCTTGCAGAATCTACAAACACAAATATGTGTCTGGTGCCCTTGTGCAATACAAAAGCAAAGGCAGGTGTCTCAAGACTGCAATCCATAAGAGACAGCCTCTTTAAATTACCTTCAAAGTTACTTCACAATCCTTTAAAATCTTATATTGAAATCTCATTTCATTTTTGTAAGGATGGTAGAGTAAATTAAAAAAAAATTACTTCTAATGATCATAACCTGATGAAAATTTAAGACACATTTGAATATAGCAGATGGAGAACATAAGACCAAAGCTTCCTTTCTGTTGGTGTTGTTGATCTCTTAAATCTGTTCAGAGGTAGGGTGAATGTTTTTAACTGGAATAAAGTAACATGAAGTCATGGAGCCAGTAAGGCAAGATCATATAACACCTGTGTATCAGACAGGCATTACCTCTTCCAGTGCCAGACACAGTGTTCCTGGCTGACTTCATTCTATCAGTATCAACAGCATAATTCACTCCTCCTGCTGACAAAAAAACCCACTTGCACTGGATTAGCTGTTCCACATCACTGTGAAAACCATGGAAGACTGATTCAGGCAGTCATTTTGAACATAGTGCAGTGTGGGCTATAAGGTAGTGATGGCTTTGTCATTTCCTGTCATTAGGGCTTGATTACATGTTTCCAAGTGACCCAAGAAGTATCAAATTCTACTTAAGCAAATGACCAGAAAAGCATCTGGTAATAAAAAGGGGAAACATAAATGATCTGGTTTTAATTCATGTGTATTAACACCTTATGTACTTGAAAAGGAACACAGTGCCATTACTTCAAGGTTCAGAATAAATTTTCTTTCTTTCCGTAGGCTCTCAAAAGAGCACTTTCTGTCATGATTGCTAGTTTCTTTTGTTAAACTTGGCACTTCAGAGCTGAGTTGTTTCTGAAGAAAGCACTGCTGCAAGACATAAAAACCAGTCAAGAGACAGACCAGTGCTGAAGGGCAGGCTGAGGCTCTTCTCCCACACCAGAGTTGATGTTCTGAGCAATACTCCAAAGCCTGGGTGTCAGACAAAGCTGTTGCATCCCTTACAGAGCATGTGCTTAGCTCTTCTTTCCCATTCCCCATCATGAGAAATACATTAGGGTTTTGTGGTTGAAGTTTAAAGCAACTCATGTCCTGCTTGACAGGTGAAGTATAACTTTTCACAGCAGAAACTGTCCACTGCTATGATCTGTGTTATTACTGCAAGCAGCAGCTTCTGAGCATTCTTGTATGAACGTGGCACCGCACGTGGAGCTGCACGTTTGACATGGTTGAGCAGTTCTTTTAATGGCTTCAATCTGTGACAAGGAACAGACCTGAACAGTTGGAAACAAACTCATCTGCTCTTGTTGCTCTCGGGAGCTGCCACTTAGGAGAGATTGTTGCTCCCAGAAATTCCTACACACAGGGCTCAGAATCTATCCCCACTGTAGAGTCTGACCCAAAGTAAAACAGGAGATCTTAATGTACAGTTTTACTGCAAACTTGGGTAACTAAGAAAATGTAAAACTTCATCCGTCCTTCAAATAACACCAGAATGTTTGGTTATTCAGTGACACCAACTTAGAGAATCCCTTGTAAAAGCTACTGTCTCAGAATGCGTATCTTTGACACTGGTATCATTTGCAGGAAGATATCAGATTCATGAAGACAACATTTTATTTTTCTAATACCTGTTAACACAACATCTGTTTTATTGTGGCAAGACCTCTAACAGACAAACATCCACAAAATGTCAGTGGCTCTAATTCTTTGTGTGATTTCAGTGATGGATTTCTAACTGTGCCTATTTGTAATGTCTTACTATGTTATCTGAAAGTTATTCCTTTAATGCTTTCATCATTCATTCATCATTTTATTGCCTGCATCACACCATGTTGCACAGTTGTTACAAAGCACTTACTTTTTTAACACAGTAACTTCCATATTTTTCACTAGTCAGATTATACTCAAATTAAGAAAATACATTTTTAAAATGCTTGTATTCTTCTTTTATAGCATATCAGAACAACTGTTTTAGAGAAGTTACTAAATACCAAATTGAAGAAACTCTTTCAAAGTGAAATAAAGGCTTCATTTTAAAGTGGGCAGCATGAAGATAAAATTTACACTTGAGTGTTGAGGGGGCCTGAGAATACCAAGGTGACACCTCCCTTTTGTGAACGGAGACCCAAGGAATGGCAGGAGGCCTCAGCACAGTAATTCTCTGTACCAGTATCTTGAGAAGCTGCTGGCAGTTAAAGGGATGGCTGTGCAGGCACAATGCTGGAACACAGCTTCATTGAGCCCTGCAGGCTCTCTGAACCTCTCAATTCAGTCCTAACACACAAAGAATATGCTGTGTTCACCTCTGCAATTCAGACCGGGCGCTTGACATTGCCAGTACAACAAAGCCAAGAGGTTACCCCAGCCTAACAGGCAGAGAGATTCTGTCTCAGCAGTATGCACAAGCAATCCTTGTTCCTTTCTGAACAGAAATTTTGGGAGACCTATTTGTGATCCCAAATTTAAATTCTACCCTCAGAACGTACAATGATGCCCGTCAGAGCCGCTTGGCTGGCTCCATTCATGCTTATTCACTGAGGTGGCCGGGTGCCCATTCACATGGTACTAGACTATTTTCACTGTGTGGAACTGCCAAGAAGAACAGGTTTAGAAGAATAATCTGCACAGTGTTCAAGCTCCTGCTCTTCTGAGGAAAGCTTTGTTCCCAGCACTTTTTTAACACTACACATTTATTTTGTCTAAGGGCTTTTGACAAGTTACAATTCTCAAAAAATATTGCTAGAAGTAACAGACTGACCTAAGTAAGATAAATGCTGCATTCCCCAAACAGCACAAGTAGTAACATCAGAGGTGTTTCAAAGAGACAATGCCTATCCTTTTTTTTGTCAGATCCCACCTTTCACAGGGCTTTTGTAAGCATCACAATCTGCTGTTCTACAATGCCTAAACAACAGGCTCCATCCCAAAAGATGCTATGCAAACCCCCCTTTCATATGGCAACAAAACACCCCCGATAGGATTTGTGTCTACTCCACAATTATGAACTCTACTGCAGATACTAGGACTGTAGTAGGACAGCAGGACAAATCTGAATGGATTTGTGGGCATATTAGTGCCAAGTGTTCCACAGCTGCAGGAACAGCAATGCTGTCTGACTGCACTAGGGCAGTGACAGAGAAGATATTCCCCCCAGTATTCCCCCCATTATTGAGCTAGGAAAAGGGTCAATCATTTACATTGCACTCAAGCTCCTGCACAATTCTAAGTGTAATCTGGCATGGTTAGTTTTTGCTTTTTTTCCCATACCCACTCTGTCTCACTACAAGGGGGAGAAGAAACTCCCTACACTAATTGCCAGCTTATCACTTAAAAAGAAACCATGACCACTACAGCTACCACCAATGGCTTGCTTGGACCTCCTCAGAAACCACTATGGCTTTCATAAAACTAAAACTTAGTGAGGCTGCATTCACAAATAGGTGCAGTACTTCTAAGCATACATGCTGTCAGCCCACATACCAAAACTTTTGTTCAGAAAAATTTAGGTAGAACATTCCAAAAAAGTACAGTTGTAAATGGAGGTACTGCAAATGTCTGTCTCACTGTAGAAGAGACCATCTCCAGATCAAGCAGATTGTGACCTCACTGCACATGAAGTACAGTTGTAAATGGAGGTATTGCAAATGTCTGTCTCACTGTAGAAAAGAGACCATCTCCAGATCAAGCAGATTGTGACCTCACTGCACGTGAAAAACTAGGAAGAAAATCTACAAGAGGAACTTTGTTAGAGATGAATGTTTATTGACAGTTTTTATTGGTCTCACAGAAAGTGTATGTAAGTACATATGGACAGTTTCCATACTAACATACAATTTTCTACTTGCAAGGGACCTTGCTGAATTGCAGTGTCTTACTTTATCCATAATCATTCCTGTAGGCTTTTTCTTGGATACGTAACACCATTCTCCGAGCATAAAAATCCCTATATTCCTCAGGTAGTTCTTCAAGTGTTTTCAAGGCTCTGTCCAAGATCTGTATAGCTCTAGAGGCTGCCATGGGATCTTTATTTCCATAAGTGTCAGTCTTATCATAGGACTCAGCAGGAAGGTGCTTCCAAAAGACATTCAGTGCCACTCCAAATTCCTCAGAAATCACATTATGGAACCACAAAGCTGTAGAAAGAACAGTGTCTAAAATAAAAATGACTGTCCAAAACTTCCATGTGACTCCAAGCAAGTGGCAGAATTGCCCAAACTAAATCTAGTTGAGGAAAAGCCTCAACTACTGCATTTTTGTCTATTTATAGATATCCACATGAATGTATTGCATTGTACCAAATTTAGTAAGTTTTTCAATACATTTATGCTGATCCAAAACTTCTCATAAAAGTAACAACTGCTAAAGTGTAGAGGGACTCAAATGTAAGCAAAGGATAAGCATGTGTAGAGTGAAAGAAAGACACCTTCCCTTGCTCTCCTCCACTCTAAATGCAGGTATCTATTTTCCCTTAGTCCCTAACCTTGCACATGCTGTCCAGGCATTAATGTAAACCACCAGCATCAGCCAGGTCACTCAGGCAAAGTCGCTAATCTTCTCATAATGAAGGCATGAGGTTTTTCAGCTGAATCGTCATGACTGTGGTAAGGAAGCCAAGACATCTTTGTTTCATTGAGGACATTTAAAGAATCAGTTTAATATGGTATATTTAGGATATTTGAGTATGAAGCTAAATGTCTGAATAATGTGTTTATTGCATCTTATTTGCCTGTAAGGGCTGAAGACATAGAAAAGTTTATTTTGAGAAATCAACATGAAGCTTCTTTCAGGTTAGGAAGAGGGGCTGTTTCTACCTTCTTCATAATAACCACACACATTCCTCAGAAAACATCTTTTTTTTCAGTGATATGCACTGCAGGATGCTAACAAAGCACCATTCTCTGGACTCAAAAATCCCTATACTCTCCATTCAGTCTTAAAGAGAGCCAAGTGTGTCTCAAGTTTGACTCTGCTCACCCACTGGCAAAGACAAACAAGTATCTGGACTCTATAAACAGAAAACAGGGATGCTGACATCAGCAGCAGTGTGACATATAACTGTATGGACATATCTAACTATAACCAAAAGTTTATTTAGGAAGAAACATAAAGGTAAGTTCAAAATTAAGTAACAAGTCAAAGGCTAAGAAACTATTATAAAATAACTTCTAAAAAAACTATTACCTTCTTGTTTACTGACCTGTTTATATTGTCCAGATAAAGTAAAAGTGACAGGATAAGTCTTATCTGCTGCAAGCTGACAATGAGTTAAAATAAAATCAGTAACAAGGAGGAGTAGTTTAATAGGAGTAATTCAAATGCCTTTTCCTGACTACCAGAATATGTCATGTCAGCCCAGGAGCAGCTTTCTGCTTCTGCAGAACAATTATTAGGACTTATGTTTCCATTCCCCAAAGACAATTATTAATCTTTAGAAAGTCCAAGAACTCTACCATCCATAACTCTCATCAGACCATGTGCCTCATAGTGCTCAAGTGCCAGAGCTACAGAAGAACAGAAATGGTATTTCACTCAAATTCTGTCACTAAAAAACTCAGGTCACTGAAGTAATTTCAGATGGCAAGTTTAGAGTATTAATCTATTAAGACACAAATTCAGGAGCATAGAGTGTACACTTGAGGGAAAGTAAGATTTGTAAGTAGATATACTGTTTCTCAAGTTAATTGTACAGTTGGAAAAAGTAAATTAGGTTTGCCAACATCTTTCAATGCTCCTACTTATAACAGAGAAATGCTTTAGTAATCTCTTACCATCTCCAGAAATCACAAATTAGAAACAAGACTGTTTAATACCGTGCCATGGTCAGGAACTATTGACTACTTACCTGGAATAAATAACACATCTCCTGCTTCCAAAACACACTGATAGCGCTTGGCTTTCACAAAAAGGGGATATTTCTCCATGTCTGGGTTATCCACATCCAGCACCTCCGATTTAGTACCTAGGAAAATTTCACTGAATAAATATTCCCACTCTTCCAACAGTACCAAAGCATTATTATGTTGCTGGAGATGGCAGTTCTTGAATCAAATTTAGTACTGGTTTATTTCTCAAAACCAGGAAAACCTGATGGCACCCCTCATTTACTGAAGAGATATTCTCCTGTTGACTGTATTTGTTCTGTAACTGCAACCTTATTAACATCAAAAAACACTTTTCCTGACATCTAAAATACTATTTTGAACCCAGACAGAACATTTTACTCCTTCAGTTAGGTGTTGAAAATAATCAGGCAAAATTGCTGTTTTCCTTAGCCTTGACTAAAGCGCACAGAATCAGAGTTAAAGGAACAAATTACTCCTTCTATAGCAAGTCATCTGTTAGTGATTATTTTCTACAGTGCAGCACTTGTGAGCTGAAAACGTAAGATCACCAAATGCTGATCTAGATACCTGTGACATGCATACCTGATAAATATAAATACCTGTGACATGCATACCTGATAAATACAAATATGGTGCATCTCGAGGACTGTACAGAACAACTCGTTTTCTCCCTGTGACTTGGATTAAGAAGTTGTCCATTACCTGTGAGTAGTGTAATAATAGAAATGTCAGCCAAAGGTTGATGAAATAAATATATAGACTTCAACTGATCTAATTATTAGCTTAAAAAAAGAGTATTAATAAAACCTTCATATGTTAAGAATTACCTTATAAATAAATTTATTCAGAACTCACTGCACAGTGTTAGAAGACAGTCTTATTTGGAATCTATTGCATTGCAGCCAGAAACCACTACAATCATTGCACAATTGGAAGTGTATTGTACAACTAGAATTTATCCTAATCTGGCCAATAGAGTGAACAAAACAAAGGAAAGCAATGTTGAAGACAAAAATGTTTAAAATTACTGTGTTTCAGAGTTTCAACTGAAACTCAAAACAGTTTAAAAAGGGGAAACAAAATAAAACACCCTTTAATCTTACAAATCTGGAATTAGACATAAACCCAGTTAATATATTATGCCTAAGCAATGCAACATTTAAACCTCACTGTACCACTGAATGTGGTTCATTTTACTGTTTAAAAATATGTGAAGTTTGTTATTATTCTCTAATCTTCGACAGAGATTTGCACCTTTTTCTCTCAACTCTGTAATGCCATCTGCAACATTTTATTCTAAACCCATGTATTACCTACATCATAATGTGTCCATAACTGTAGTCCAGCTGAGCTGATGCGGAAGACACTAGAGAAGAACTGTTCCTTCTCAAAATACTCTGGAATATGAACATCTTCTGCTAAAATAGGAAACTGCTTCCTGATATCTGCAACATCCTGAAACAGAAAGGGTGTAACCCTTAGAGAACCCTCGGTGCACATTTAAATGGTCATTTCCAATCCTATGAAACGTGGTTAGAACTTCAGCATTGGCAAACACCTGAAATCAGCAATGCTTTTCAGCAATGACTTGCCAAATGCCATTAATAAGGACAGCTAGAGAGCTGCTCTTAATCATGGCTGTTAGGAATCACACTGCAAGTGGAAGAGATCAGCATAAATCCTTTTATATTAGTTTAGAACAAAAGTAAAGAAAGGCAGTTTAGCAATGTTCTCTTCAGTGATCAGCTCAGCTCCCATGCAACAGCAACTATTTTAGACACATTGAAGTACTCTGACCTAAGTCCACTCAGATTTACAAACCACGTGACCCTAAGTAAGCTGGATGACAACAGACTTTAAAAAATATTTCTAAACTGCAACTTTACAGTATAGAACTGTAATCTCCAGTAACTTACCTTCCTAACATCTTCACCCACTGATCGCAAATAGTACTTTTCATCCTGAAGAGAACACAAAAAGATAATTGTTTGGGGTTCTTTAATAAGAATTACCAAAACACTTAAACAGGAGCTTGTATTTTCTCATTTATCTAATGCAGAATTTCATTAAAATATTATACAAATAAAGGGCACCTACAAATTCAGCTACTTTGTTATACTGCCATTTACTGATCCCTGCAGCTCATCATGAGAAAAGGGAAAAATAAGTTAACTGAAAGAAGAGTAAAGTGTGAGGAGACAGGTCAACTGCTTCAGCATCTGTTACTGAACAGACTCAAAGCAAATACAGATTATAATTTAAGTTCTTCAGTATTTTAATGGAGAAAACTATTTTTATTGGCTTCAAAACTTACAGCATTCTATACAGCATAAAAGGTAAAAAATATGTCTACATTCAAAACTATTTTTCTTCCCAATCACAGTTATCTGAAAAATCTCTACACTGAACACTGATATGTAGAGATAACCACACGTTTGCCACTCACAAATTATGTTACAATATATCTGGATTTGTATTTTGATAGTCATAAAATTCTAAAATATCTTCATGACATTTTCTTGCAAAACACACAAATTATATGTTGTTATTCTAAAGCAAGATTTGATTTCTAAATTTCATACTGGAATTTTTGCTCATGCAAGCAGTTTTTGTTAAGAGAAACAGCATGAAGTTAACCACACTGCACACATACAAAAAAAACTTCTAAGAATTACTTCTCACATTTTTCCTTTGGCATCAACCCACAAGAAAGTTTAATTAAAGATCAACTTTTTTACTGAAGTAAGACTTCAAATTACAATTCATCACTTTTCTCTCCATATACCAGCAAAATAAGTAACAGAAGCAACTGTGACACTAAGGAAATTACCTCAGTAAGAAAGTACTCCTTGTGCTTGACTTCAGCTGCTCTTCGTACAAATACATCAAAAGGCAGAGTTCTGAAATACAAATATTTGAATTTATACCATGAATCAGTGTAACAACACACAGTCTAAACTCCAGATTTATAATAAGCTCCCTTACCATATCAAGTGCAATGGAAGATGCAATAGGCTGCTCTCCTATTTTTTTTAATTTAACATAGTGACTAATCAGTGTTTGAGCAGATGTTTGAAGAGTTCTCAGAAGACAGAAATACTACACTTAGAAACTTCTTTGTTTTAGTGAATTGTTGCAATATACATCCAAACAGAATCCTGTAGTAGCTGAGGCTGGAAGCACTCTGGATCTCCTCCAGTCTAAGCCCCTTGCCAAGAGCAGGGCTCACTACAGCAGCTTGCACAGGACAGCATCCAGTTTGGTTCTGTGGATCTCCAAGGATGGAGACTCCATAATCTCTCTAGGCAACCTGTTCCTTTCGTTCCATTGTTTGACTAACCTCACTGTAAAACAGTGTGTGTCTGTGTGTGTTGAAGGGGTTAACAGAATTTCCTGTATTTCAGCTTGTGCCCATTGCCTCTTGTCCTGTCACCGTGGACCACAGAGGACGCGGCTCCATCAGTGTTCATACACTTTGTTAAGATCCCCTCTTCAGCTTAGGAGTTCTGAAAGGTCTGAGTCACAGAACAAAACATTTTTCACAGTCAAATTAAGACTCAAACCGTGGCAATACTTCCTATCTGTTTAAGTGTGTCATTTTTAGGCTTGTTTACTGTACATTTTTATAAATTTGCAGAAAAGCTCAGCATCAAGAAAACTCCAACATGGAAGATGCACATATTTGTATCTATGCATTTTCTGCTATGAATTTGTGCAGGAACACAGACAACTACCTGCATTTGTACATCTATAAAATTTATTTCAGTTATATGGATTAAAAAAAAATATATATGCTTTTTCAGCTCCTAAAAACACAGGCATCTTGATACTTCAAATGTTTCTTCGCAGTTTTCCTTAAATTTACTAAACACAACTTCAGAAGATTCAAGAAGAGTCACTGGGCATTAGAGCTGGTCCTTCTGAAGTCAGTAAGTGTTACATATTTATCTACATAATGGGAGCTTTTCATGCAGATTACAGATTTTGGTATCAGTTGATAGTTGAATAGCAAACCAAGCACAATCAGCAACAGGCCATGTATTCATTATTATGAATTCAGTGTTACCATCTCACACTAAGTGTCACTGGATAATGCATATAAACATCACATTTCAGGGCAATCACCAAGTACCCAGGGTTAAGAAGAAAGTAAAATTCTCAAGTAAAATTTTTCTGCATCCTGTTATCTTTTTTACTAGAATGTGCACCTACATCTGACAGTACTTAAACCAATTCTCTAAACATTTGAGGCTTGTTTGAAATAGGCAGATACAAAACCCATTTCAGTCTTTGGAAAACCAAACAAAACCCAATGCTCTAACTTCAGCCAAACTGTTCTATCATATCCATTTAGGTTTGCTGCTGAAGAAAGTGAGAACACAGCTCTACTACAGCCTAAACTGATGCATTCTGGTGCTACCACAGCTCTGCCCTTGCTATCTGCCCTAATCACCCCATCTCCCCCCTTACAGTAGCACTGGCACTCATCTGACCTCTCTGTGAACCTGCTTACAAAGCTAAACCAGCAGAAAACCGTTTAGATTTCTGCAGCACGTCACAACCTGGCTGGATGAGTTCCAGAACCAACACAAAAACAGGGGTAGAGCATGCAACTCACAACAGAACTGCAGTACTACTGATGTTCATCAGTTTAAACTAATGGAACTGCATGTTAACTCCTCAGAGTTTCTATTGTTTCTACTTACTGTCCCTTCTGATTAGAATGAGGGGCTTGCTGTGGAAAGGTCAAAGCCTCCTGAATTTCAAGTGAAGTATGTGAAAGTACTGACACCTGCTTTAATGAAACACCATCAGAGCATCAGAGCCCATTTGGCTGTCTACAAACCTGCTAAAACTAAGACTCCAGAAAAGCTGTATGTGAACTCACAGCAAGAGACACTAAAACACCCCAAAGCAGAGTGGAGAAAATGAAGTATGGAGATAAGGCAAAGTTAGTCAAGTACACCCTCATTTCAGAGATTCAATAGTTCATTATGCAGTGAGCAGAATGCATCATGATTGTAATTTGTGTTTATCCCCTGAACAACAGGCTCCACTCAGAGACTTGTGGCTGTAAACACAGGCTCCCAGCTGCTTAGAAGTTTAACACACTGAGCACATCCTGTTCCCACCTGGAGAAAACAAAGGACTGCTAAAATAAAGGCATTTACCCTTGAAGGACAACACAATGACTGATATTAGAGGAACCCAGGAGAAATGTTCTGGCAGCTACATAAGAGAAGCTGCAGAGGAGATAAGGTTTTTTGTGGCCCACATCAAGATTAAAGAGCTGGTGAAACGTGTGGTATCCAGTGGTTTGAACATTCTGAAAGCTGCACATGCTAACTTCGAAGGGAGCTTGGTTTTAACTAGTTACACCCCTTCTGGAGTGGAATACCATGGCTGGCACACACACACCAGCATTCAAAGGGGATCAGACACACAGTGAGTCAGAAATTGTCACTATTCAATAACACTGAGAATGCACCATGTAACTACAGCAAAATCCAGGTCATCAAGTGTAGATAACAAGGGTGTTTTGGTTCAATTTCAATTAACGTCTGCAAGTACCAGGCTCAAATTTCCTACAAGAGTGTGCTGGCAAAATACCTTTACAACACTCCATGACATCATTTTTAAGGTGCTGTTTCGCCCCTCATTTCACCTTCCTTGTATTTATTCAGGGTGCAGAATTAATAGAAGAGGGAGAAATCTAGGACAACCCTTTGACACATACTGTAATGTTTTCACAAACTATCTTCCTATTCCCACCCTCAGCTCCAGACAGATGCACTGTATGTCTGTAAGTTACAAGCACATGCCTTTAAAATACAAGAGGCTTTGGAGTGAAGTACCTATACACAAAGTTCTTACTGAGGAAATCCATCTGTGGCACTGCAGAAACATGAATCTTCACTTCTTTAGATCCTTCAGCTTGGCTCAAGTAATCTGTTGTCCATTTGGTGGTGCAAGCACCCAGTTCCAGTCCTGTCAGCACTACTGGCTTTCTCTAAGGAACAACAACAACAAAATTCAGTATTATCACAGCATCCAACACAAGAAAAAAAAAAAAAAAAACAGAATGAATTTTTCAAATTACATTGAAGCAAACAAGTCAGCTGAATGCCAGGACCCACTGCACAAGGTTACAAATAATCTGTTCACAAGCAATGTGAATCAAATGCTGAATGTTGAAACAAAATGCAGCAAATTATGGCACTGTTTCTATGTGTTCTTTCCTAAGGAAAAGCATCCTAAGGATATGGAGAGGCAAAGACAATTATAGCCCACACTTTGTGCTGGGGCCATTTAGGAATCCAGCCAGACAAAGGAATGGATTTAATCCTTCTAGCCAAGGCTTAGCACAAAACACGTAAAAGCCCACGAAGTTAAGGTGCAGACTGTGAGCTGTGGTGATGCTGTTATATTCTCATGAGAGAAGCTCTTTCCACCTATACCAGGTTCCTTGCTGCTCACAACCATGAAAAGGTTTGATCGAGCCTGCACACAAAAAGGAGAAAGACACTTTTCATTTTCATTGGGACCTCGGAGGGTGGGGGGTAATGGCCGGAGGACGGGAATAAAACAAAAGATGACAAAGCAACAAAACTTTTTAACCACTGCCAAATGCAGTGGACTCTTACAGAGATTACCTGTCGGAACTTGCCAGCAGCTCAGACAGCAGACAGGGCCTGCCTACAGGACCTTGATCCTAAACTCCCATTCCCCTCAAAGCATCAGGACCTTTCCAGGAGCACCCAAACCCAAACCCTGGCCTTGGCCTGCCCCAGCTGCGCCCGCTGAGGAGCGGTCCCCGACACCTCCTGCCTTGCCCTGTGCCGCCGTGGAGCCCCAGCCGCCCCGGCGGTTCCCGGGCAGAGCGCCCCGTACCCGCGGGTAGATGTCCCGCAGGAAGCGCTCCCGCGTCACCCCGTCCAGCCGCTCCACGGCCGCGGCCCGCGGCTCCCGCTGCTCCTGCGGCTCCCGCTGCTCCCGCCGCTCCATGGCCGCGGGCACCGCGTCCGCCCCGCCGCTTCCCCCGGAAAGAACAGCCCGCGCACAAGCGTTCCTGCCTCGTCCTCTGGGCAAGGGCCGGGAGGCCGCGGATCACGGAATTGTCAGGGCTGGAAGGGATCTCTGGAGAGCGTCGAGTCCAGCCCCTGCCACGGCAGGGTCACCTGCAGCAGGTGACACATGAAGCCCAGAAGTGACACCGTACCCAGACGCGGCCCCACCAGGGCCAGCAGAGGGAAGGCCGCCCCTCTCCGGGGGTGACCGGGGCTCGTGTCCCCTGACCCGGCGCGGCCGGAGCCGCGGGCAGCCCGGACCGCTGGCCGGGGCCGGGGCCGCGTTTCCNAGCCGCGCCGGGCCCGCCGGGCCCCGCCCGGACCCGTCCGCCCCAGCTCAGCGCTCGGTTCGCCAGCAGCGCCGGATCCGGGACCGAGGGCCCTCAGCGGCGTGTCGTGGTAGTGAGGATCAGCAGCCCCTTCGCTTGGCTCCGCACCCGCTTCTACTACCTGCTCATCCGCCTCTACTTCGACCACGAATTCAGCATCGAGGAGTTCACGCGGGGAGCCAAGCAGGTGAGCGGGGCTGGGGGCGAGGAGAGCGGCCGGCCTGAGGGGAAGGGTCCTGCTGAGCCTCCCAGGGGCTGCCGGGGGCTCGGCTATTCTCATGGAATTATAGAACCACTTAGGCTGGAGAAGATTTCGGGCATAGTCACAGATTCACGGAACAGGTGAGGTAGGAGTGAGCTACAGTGGGTCATCTGCTCCATCCTCCCTGCTCCAGCAAGGTCGTCCTAGAGCACATGGGTCTGGAGTGTGTCCAGACAGGTCTAGAATGTCTGCAGTGAGGGACACTCCACAACCTCTGAGCAGTCTGTTCCAATGCTTGGTACACTCACAGTAAAGAAGTCCTTCCTTGTGTTCAGGTGGAACTTACCTGTGCATCAGTTTCTGCCCCATTGCCTCTTGTCCTGTTGCTTGGCACCACCGAGCAGACCCTGGTCCATACTGGTGTCACTCCCCTCCTTTAAATATTTATAAACATTGATGAGGTCCCTCTCAGCCATCTCTTCTTGAGGCTGAACAAGTTCCATAAGCTTTTCTTGTAGGAGAGATGCTCCAGTGCCTAATCCTTGCTGCTGGACCCACTCCAGGAGCTCTGTGTCCGTGTTGTGCGTGGAGTCCAGCGTGTCACCAAACACCACTTCATCAACCACTTTCTGGCATCAGTGCCATGTCCAGTCTTTCCTTAAACACCTCCAGGGATGATGCCTCCACCACCTCCCTGGGCAGCTCATTTCAATGTTTGACAACTTTTTCCATGAATAAGTTCCCCCTGATGTCCAGCCTGATGTTATTATGTGTGGACATCATAGCACGAATGTGCTGCTGTGTGTAAAATACATGGAGCAGCACATTCCCAGCCCCCCTGCTGGCTCCAAGCACCACGCTTCAAGGCAAATGATATAAGCAGAACTGTACTTTCCTTCAGGAATTTGTTTTCCCAGATTCCACAATTAAAATGAACTGGTTAAGCCATCCCCCAAAGCAGCATGAAGGAAGATTATTCCAAATGTTATAGAGATTTTAAGCAGCATTGTGTCTCCTCTTAGCAGGTTTTCCTGAAATGATCAAGCTTAGACAGGCATAGAGCTGGTGTTTATATATTTATTTCTCCAAATTTATGAGCCCAAACCTTGTCAGCAGAATGTGTCAGAGAGGGAAGTATCTCAAAGTTAGTCTTATGAAAATTACAGAGTTATCTGTTAGCAAACTTTTTATTATTATGTTTACTTTTGCCAAAAAAAAAACCAAAACAGCTCAAAACAACACATCAGGGGACAGAATGTTAAAATTGTTAGGATCAATTCAAGAGAGGGAAAAAACCTCGAACAAATAATTTGACATGTGCTGAACCACGTGTTTTACCTTGGCCTGTTTTTCTGAGGTTTTGTTTTGGTGTCTGTTTGTTTTTACTTGGTGTAGAGTCCTAAATACACTTTCCTTCACAAGTGCACTACTTGAATATGTAGAGGCATAATTGTATGTCAATATGCCTGCAGAATTGAGGGGAGAAAAGAGAGTTGAGCTCCCTCAAGTCTAGAGACTAAACCAGATTTTTAAAGAAAATTTGTGAATTGCAGCATCAGTTTTGACTGAAACCAGAAGATGAATTGGAAAAGAGGGCAGGAGGACAAAATACAGGGAAAGACTGTTTGAATTATCAGAATGAGTAAAAGCAACATGCAAAATATTGCAAAGCTTTCTTTCCTTTTCTAATTCACCTATTGGAGGCTTTGATGTTTTAAATAAGAAATTGAAAAGAACTTGTATGTTTTTATCAATTCATGAAATCACTCTTGTAATGCTGAAGGGATTACATTTCAGTGGTGATACCCTCTGCAAATATTGAAATCTTAAATCATGGACTGTTTGGGTTGTTTGTCATATACTTATGGATTTGTCTGAAAAATAAGCCAACCTAGAGTTACTTGTTATGTTTGGTTTTGTTTCTGTTTTATTTTGATAGGCCTTCTCTGTTGTTTCAAAGCTGCTGTCTCAGCGTAAACTTGACCTGCTGGAAGAACTTGTATCAGCAGAGGTAAATGCTTTCCATCTCCTATTGGAGCAGTTGATTGTCTGTTACAAAGTGACATGGATGCACTCAGCCTGTCATTATCTACAAGTTGCCAGTTTGGTTTAATTTGGCAAAAACAGAGTAATGTGACATAGGGTGGGCAATTTTTTGTCCTACAGCTTTTTTATATTTATTTCAAGGCATGAAACCTGATTTGAAGTTATTGTATTTAAAGCAAAATAAAATATGTTTTAGCTGTTGAGCATAAGGACCAAATGCCAGAAAGATTGCTGGTGTAGCAGGAAGGATGGAAAGGCAGTGGGCTCTGGATGGCAGGTGGAATTGTGTGTCTCTAGGTGTAGGCAGGTGGCTGAAGCTGACTCAGTCTGTGCTCCAGAATTTGTGTGAAGAAAGAAACTGCTTTGTGCTCATCCCAGCTGCACTGATACATTCCCACCCCCATCAGATCATGGAGCTGATTCCTGGTTTTGGCTGGAAGGCCTTAGTCTTGTGTCGTGGTCTCAGGGATATGACTGACCTGGTTAAACATCAGTGCTGTGTTTTCTGTGTTTTTATGAATTTTTAATTGCTGAAGTTGTCTTGGCCTTCCCAGGGCATGGAGGTAACAGATGCATCAGAGTCAAGTGGAGGAGACACTGCAGGTCTCTGCCTGCCTTGTTACAGGATGTCAGCATGGCCTGTCCTATTGCCACCCATGCCTTTGCAGCAAAAACTCTGGTGCTGTTCTAGTGCATCCCCTCTGAACAGTCTTGCCTCCTCTCTCTGAACAGAGATAGCAATAAAACGTGAGTTTGTTTCTTGCAGTTGTTCTGAAAGGGCTTCTCCTCTGCTTCCTCTTGAGAGGACTTGCTCTGGTCACTGTAAATTTTTCAGGTTTACATTGATGCAGAGATTTCATGTAAGCCAAGGATGTAGTAGATGAGGCTGTGATCCTAGGCTACTTTGTCATTTCTTTGGCCAGTGAATTTCATACCTGCAAAATGTACTAGAAACCAGTGTCTCCTTGTGAAGATTGGCTCTTGCTTCCATGTAACCTCTGCATTTGTTTGTTACTCGAAAATGGAAGATCAAGTTAGGGTAAAAAATGAGTATTAGTTAAAAATAAGTTTTGCAGTTTCGTCCTTTCTTGTGACTTGACTTTCTTATGTGGTGTTTGGGGTGCTACCTCTGTACAGTTTTTCCACCCCACCATTTTCTACTTAACACAGCTGTGTGGATCATAGGACACTTAGATAATTATGGATGTGAGCCTCCTAAGGACATTAATTACAATTTTCAGTCAGTTCTGATTTGCAAGTGTTTAAACTTGTTCTAAATGGAGTGTGGATCGCAAAACGGCAAAGATAAACTCATTGGTAATGAAACTGATTTTCAAAGAAATTTGTGAGAGAGAGCTAAAAGACACTGAATCCAAAGCTTAGGAACCTGCTCACAGTGAGAATTCAGTGGTGAGAAGGCAGAGTGTAATTGTGGGAGCAAGCTTCACTGGGCTCTTCTGCCTGACATGGCTTGTGTTGCTGCTGCTGTTTTGACAGTACCTTTTCTAAACATTTTTTAAGATGCTTGGTCTTCATTTGTTCTGAGCAGTAAATGGACCTTCTTCAATGCTGCTGAATTGTGGTTTAGGAATGCCCAAACTTCCCAGTGTTTCATTTTAGCTGCTACATGTGTTGGTCAAATGTTTTAGCAGTACAGCTCATTTTATTAACTGCAGTAGAAATAGATTGTTACTTAAATTTCCTAATGAAAAACTAAGTGACAGTTTTTCTGAATTTAGGTACTTCAGGTGCTGAAGGAAAAGATTTCTTTGCTCCCTGACAGCCACAGGGATGCTTTAGCAGCTGACATTGATGCAATCATGTACACAACAGAAGGAGATGTTCGCATTTACTATGATGATGATGGTATGTTTAGAATCCTAAAACATTTCAGCAATGAGCAGTCTTATTTCCTGGGTTTGCTACTAAACAGACATTTTCCATGCAGATGTGATTTTGAGTACTGTTTCTCATCCCTTGTTTCTCAATTTGTAATTCATCCATTAAAATGTATTGATTTCCTTTTAAACCAGAGATAGATTATTGTTAATACATCATGGTACTGTTTTGACTTCTGTTTGGGTTTTGCTTATTCCTCTTCTTTTGTACAGAATTTTATATTATTAGTCCTCAGCAATGTGAAACCACTCAAAAACAATTATTCTAATATATGCTAAAAGTAGTTTGCTTCAACAATGACAATGCATCCTGCAAGAAGAAAGTGAAGGCTGGCTAATGAACTAAATTTTATTGGTTTAGTCTTTCTGTCACTAAATACACTTTGTTCTAGGACTCCTTGATTGGTTTGAGTTTTTTTTAAGCTGGTGCTGAGCTCAAACAAGTTTTTCTTTTGGTTGGATACCGGGATTGTGTGCTCTGTTCACTGTCAGACAAGTGGAGATGATATGTGGGTGTAACCCTGGGTATTCAGTTGAGCATTTCAATTTGTCAGACCTAACAAGCATTTTTCCTGGTTTGGGAAACAGGAATTTCTTTTTCCCCTCTTATATTGCTGCCATGTTTGAACTACTCTGCATGCATTTTTTATATCAGTAGTTATCTTTGGAATTTGTGGGAACCAACTTTTTTTATACAGTTTCATTATTTACATGTGACACCACACTCAAAATACATATTTTTTTAGAGTGTATTTTTAGTCTTGCTAAACACCATGAGTATGGCATAAAATAACTTTATCACTCATTATTCTATCCTGTATATTTTTATGGCTGAAGTCAGCTGTTCTTCCAGGGTCTCACTAGAATATATGGTAGGTAGCAAATAGGAGCATTGATTGGTGAGAAACATGAGATCTCACTTAAGTTTTGATTTATTTCCAACAGGAAGAAAGTTTGTTAGCATCCTGATGTGCTTCTGGTATCTGAATGGTGCTAATCTACCTGATGAAGTACCAGGTGAAGCCAAAGTCTTCCAGATTGTGTTTGGAGATGAAAACACAAAAGAAAAGAAACATCTTTTAACAGCAAACTATGAGTAAGCTTGCTTGTCCCTTTCTTTTCCCGTGTCCATGAGGTACCTGTGGGGTAGGCAGTCCCACTGTGCCACTGCAGAACCCAGTGCTTTTAATTTACTCTGATTCTAATCTAAGTTAATTCTCATCCAGCTTTCCAGTTTTGGTTTTAGGGCCAAATTTTTTAAATACCCCTCTTGTCATAGCAGCGCAGAAAATACCTGTACAGTTGGCAAAATGTATTGAAAATAAAATTCTCAGAAGCTGGGAGAAGTGAGGATTTTTGTGTGATAAATGCAATATGATCAAGGATTTCTACACCCACATTTGAAATTGAAATGTGAAGTCGAGGTGATGAGGAGCTCTGAAACAAAGGTAACACGAGGAGACCAGTGCTTTTTGCCTGGCTAGATTGTTGTGGATCCATCCCTTAGCTGAATTCAACATCTTCCTTAGAGCTGGAGGTTTCTGAGGTTCTATTAACCTTGAGAGCCTTCCTTTTAAGCCCAAATATCTTCCCAATCCCACTTTGCAGGAGTGGATTTGCACAGGATTGCAAAGCAGTGATAGTATACTTCTCTTGTCCATGACATGCAGATTATTTGAGAACATGAGAATTCAGCTTGAAGCTCAGGCTTGTCTTTAGATAGGGGAGACTCAGGACTACTGTTAACTTGATCTTTGATATAGTTCTGAAAATATATTGCCTTTTAAACTACACTTCAGGAAAGAGGAAAATTTTCAAGTAGAATATGGACCATGTGATTTCCCTTCACTTACCATCCCATTAAATGAAACCCTTTATTTACAGATCAAAATCTTCTATAAATTATTCATAATGCTGCTGTGAAAGCTGAGTGTTTTCTTGATATCAGGGTCTTTACAGTTGCTGCTTGATCCTGTCTGTGGGATCTGAACCAAAATGCTCTGAAGTCAGTGCATTCTGTTTCTTACTATGGAAATAATTTTTATCTTCCATTTTGGGGCATAAGCATTAAATTTTAAGTAGCTTTTAAGCAATAAGTTTGAAGTAAAATATTTCTTTGTGATTCCTTGTCATATTAGTAGCTCTTGAAGGTCAAGTAAATCTTAACAACTCTTCACTTATTATCTTTCCCTTTTCAGGTTCCAAAGGGAGTTTACAGAAGGAGCAAAACCAGACTGGACTATTACACGGATTGAACATCCAAGACTATTAGAATAAATGCCTTCTTACAGCCTTTTTATGTACCACTGTAATTGTTTTGATGTAACAAATACTAGGCTTTTTTGGGTCTTTTTTTCCCCTTCCTGCCCTTTCCTCCAAAAGTAGGACAAATTTTCTATGTATGATTTCAAAAAATTCTTTCTGAAGCTTGCACTGTGCTGCAGTGTTACAGCAAAGCCTTTTCCCTGGAACAGGCTGGTAGAAATTTAACTGGTTCCAGTGCTCATCCAAGGCATTTAGACAGCACAGTTTCATTCAGGCAGGTGTAATGGATATGCCAATTTCTTACATTCTGACAAGAAATGGTACTGTTTGAAAATAAACAACACTTAAATGACTGATGGCCTTTCTGAGTTACTTTCCTATGTTTCTTTTTTTTTCCTAGGGACTGTACAATATATAAATGAATAATATGCAAGATGAAATAGAGGTAGATGGACTTCTTAGCTTGTCTAACCTCAGCAGTTCATTTTGAGGTAATCTTGCTTTTGAATATATTTGAGGTTAAGAAAGTTAGAACTGCTATTACTATTTGCTGCAGGATTGGAGAAAGAAAAAGCTTTTAGCATTGCGCTGGGAAGATGGATCAAACAGATATATGTTTTGGAAAATTAAAAAAAACCATTCCATTCAATTCAGTAATATATAGGCAATTCCAAGTTTAGAGAATTATGGAAAGAAAAATCAGTTAAAATCATGAATTTAAAGGGGAACTGACAGTGAAGTTAAATTAAGTCCTCTGTTTGAAATGTGTGTTAAAGTAATGACCAAATCCTTACAGTTAGATGTTGCAACTGAACAATTTCCTAGTTGTCACTTTACCTGGTTTCTGGAATGTGACAATCCTGGTGTAAGTAGCTGTAGACTTTTCTGTGTAGATCAACAGGAGATCATAACAGGTTTCTTCATCTCCTATATCATTTCCAAATATAAAGCTAACTTTCTACCAAGGCATGGTGTAGACATTAGTGCAGTGTTTTGAAAGTGTTAAGTGTAATTACTGTGATTCATAGGAACTGTAATTGAAGGTATAAATTAAATTTTCCATAGTTCAGCTCTTTTGATCCAGTGACTTAATGAGAGGAACATCTAAAGCTTGTCAACTAGTTGATAACACACTTTTGCTGCAAAAGGTGTGATTGGAAATTTACATGCACTGTTTTATTCTTTTGAAGTTATGTCTTGTGGGTTGGAGCCAAAAGGGGCAGCAGTTTGAGGTTTGGGTTTTCTTCCCCACTTCTGATCTTCAATTAAAAACTTATCCTGGAGACTGCAAATCTGCAACAGACACAGAACTACCCATGGATTTATTGCACCATAAATAAATCAGAAAGGCATATAAATTACTAAGCTTGCTGTATTGGAAAATGGTATTCTCCCACACTGAATAAAACTGGTGTAATTAAACTGGATTTATAGTCTTACACTGGCTTCAGAAGAAAAAACACCACCCCACTCCAGAAAAACCTTTACAAACCAGCCCCAAACCCAACATTTAATGGACAAATGTGGAAGATTTGACTCATTTTACCTGCCATCCATAAATTCTCTGTCATAAATCTGATCATCAGAGCAATTAATCAGGCTGAAGTGGTGACCACTGAAGGGCATTTGTCATTTTATGGCATCCACATTTTCTCTTGTGTCATTTGTTCACGCAAAACAAGAACTTCTGGTTTCTATGTTGCCATCCAAGAGTAGCAAAAAGAAATTATTTTAGTTCCTTCAAGCTAGTTCCTAATGAATATATTTCTCTATGCTATCCAAGTTGCTGGAAATTCTTATGGCAAAAAGGATGAGTAAAGGGTTAACTTTCCTTCATCTCAAAGATGGGGAGAATATTGTCTTGTAATTTGGGGATTTCCAGTGCTGCAATTCAAATATTTTACTCTAAAAATCATAATGCTAACTGAAGTGTTACAGATTTTGAAAAAAAGAGCAAAAGGAAGTGTCTTATTAAAAACATCTTCCTGATGTGGGAATAATGATGCTCAGCAGGTAGCAGTAGAACAGTGAGGGGATCTCTTTGTCATAGCTTGCTGTTGCTCCCAGTTTCCCTTGCTGATCAGTTTCAGACATTACCTTGGAAATGACAGTGTGTAAGGATATGGATGTGCTTAATTTCCTTTCAATTTCCTTGCCTGGTGTCCATTTCTGTTGCCTAATGCCTGGGGACAAGTACAATTGGAACTATGGTATGCAGCCAACAAATCCCCATTAAAAATCCCCATTTGAAGGGTTTGCAGTTTTAACCTACAAATGTTTCTATTTAGACCCCACTGAAAACAATGTTACCAGGTTTGGTAGTGATTTTGGGGGTAAAATTCATATCTCTATTAGCAGCACTGACATGTCTGATTAATTTTGCACAGAGCAGTGAGGTGACATGGTGTCTGGACTACAACAGGATGCAGATTTAAAGCACCACACTCTTCTCCCCTGGGCAACATCATGGTTCTTTTGGTCCACGTGGAGTTGGGAAGCCTTAATTTTTTATTTGTTCACCCAAAATTGTGATCATATTTAATAATTCATGACAGCTACCTGGCACAATTTCAATTCATGTGCCTAAATCTCGACAAGCACTAATTAAATCTGGCCAACAAACCTTCCCTTAGTACACACACCCCACTCACCAGTAGATGGCCTTGGTCACAAAGCTATTGTGGCTGGGAAGTAACTGATTTAATGAGACTGTAAGTGGGGTAAAGGATAAAATGGTAGAAGCATTAAGTGCTTTTTAAATAATTCAGATTTGTATTTTTAATTTAAAAAATCTTGATATTTTTCCTTGCTTTCATAGTGAGTCAACGATAGTGTCTTGTGTTCTCTCTGCAGTGCCTCCCCATTTTAAAGTGGCAATTTATCTGCATTCTTAATGTGGGAAAGATGTGCTGTACGTGTGAATTCACACAGGCACCTCTGTGGCTGACAGTAGCAAAGCTAATTTTTAATATTTACATTTTGAAATACGTTTATCATGTTGATTGTGGTTCCTTTGCCTCCTGTCCCAGCATTGTCTGATTACTTCAAGGGACACATTCAGCTTTCTCCAGTTTCTAAGGCATGTTCAAGCTTGACTTTATCATCACTTTGGGTTATATTTAGTTAATTATTTTGAGGTCTTATGGCTGGAAATCTGTTTAGTAGTAAAAGTCATATTTTTTATCACAGTAGTGATCATACTCCTTCAAAACTTCACAGCTGCCCTGCTTTTTTTGTTTGTTGTGTGATTAAGCTTGATTTCTGGCCCATGTGCTCTATTGGTTGCAGGTGGGGGTTTTGAGATTCCTTCCTCCCAGGCTGTAATGACATGATGGCTCACAGCTTAAAAGAGATGGGATAGAAGAGTGTGTTCTGCTTTTAGTTTCATTTCTCCTGTGTGCATGGGTGTGATAGCTGATCTCTAGGCACTGGGCCACATGTAGACACAGGAAGAGGTATTTAGCTGTTAAAAAAGCAAGCAGTGCCTACACAGCTGTGCTTTTGTTCTTCTAAGGGAAAAGCACCTGGGGCAAATGCTGTTGCACAGTAAGTACTGACTACCCTAACTCATAGGAGTTCCCCTCCTTGTCTTTTACCTTCATTTTCCATTGCTGGTATGCCCAGCCTTTTGGATATTTATAGTATTGCCATAGGATAGATGTTGGGTAAGTCACTATGAACTTGTGCAGCACTGTTGAAAACACTCTCTTAATCACAATGCTTCTCTTAATGTATTTTGTCTGATTTCAGTGGTGTGTGCTTTTCCTAGTATAAAGTTCTCTATTGAAGTTGTTCAGGGGAAACTGTTCTGCATTTTCATGGGAGCAGACTTCTTTGTTGCCTTTGAAGTTACTCCATCAGAAATAGAGGGAAGCTAAAGTTAGACATGATGTATTTTCTTCTGTGCCATTTCATCTCTCCTCTGCTGTCACAGAACAAGGCTTTTCATAGTGAGCTTGGTACTGTAGTGCCAAGAGGCACATGAGGGAAGGGAGCAGGACAGCAGAGACAAGTGCAGAGGAGGTGGCATTTCACCAAGGATGAAGGCAAGATGATTTCTATCTTGCCATAAGGTTCCAGCCCTCTATCTGAGAAGGTAAAGCATTTGTACCAGTACCTGTAAACATGGTAGGACCATTGTGGCTTGAATTGTAAACTTACTGTGTATGTACTTAAAAGTTTCAGAAGCAAATCTACAGATCAGATGTTAAGTCTGAATTTGTATCAGCTGCATTAAGACAGTAATTATAATAAAATTTTAGCATAATTTCTGCTGTGAGGAAGGGAGGGCTTTTTCTTTTGTTCATGTTGTTCTGTGGTGGTTTTTGTTTTTTATTCTCTCCTAAACACCAGCAGTTAGTCAAGGCTAGAGAAAGTGTTTAGTACATAAGACATAGCATAGATGTCTAAGGGAAAATTAGAATATCAGTCATTTTTACATATTTCATGTTCTACTTTTAGATGCTGTGTTGGAAAGAAGTGGTGTTTTAATGCCAAATTGGTAACATTTGACTGACTTTTTCTGCAGTGGAGGCTCTTGTTTCCTGATGGAATCGTTTGCATATGTTTTTGCCCAGTTTACTGCCAGTGCAGCTCATGCTGCAGGATCTCCTGCAGTGTACAGTTTAATCTCTTGCTTTCATTTCACTGAAGTTTATGGGTTTCAGCAGGGGTAACTGGGTGAGAGTTAGTGCCTGCATTATACTGGAGATCTGCTTAAGTGATCTAATGGTTCCTCCTGGCAAAATCTGTGAAATTATAATAGCAGAAGTAGAGAGGAAGGGGATCAAAGGTGGGTGGTAATGCAGGATTCATAGAAAAGGGAAGCTCTATGTATTCTGTCCCTAGAGCAGAAGCTGAAGCAGCCCTGAAATGAAAGTAAGTTTAGAAAACTTGAGAAAAATAAATTATGAGAAGGTTTGTGTTCTGACTAGAGATTGTTCTCTCAGATAAAAGGCTAGAGAACTCCTTCGTACCTGAGGCAAGGAGAATTCCTTGTAGGTTTCTGGGGTGGTGTCCTGGGTATCAGGAAGAAGCAAATTCTAGAGGATTTATAGTGACTTGCCTCAGTTGTGAGAAAGGTCTTTGGAACACTTTATAAAATGAAGACAGCTGTGCTGAAGCCTTCACTTACAAAAACCAGGGATTATTTCTCTCCAGCAGTAGTCACTGCCTTCTCATGAGACTGGGATACATTCAGTCTGGAGTCAAATGGCCTTTGTGACTTCATTTACTGTCACACTCTTCTTTCCTTGCAGATCTAGCAGGGGATATTTGAGAAGATGAGCTGCTGACACTCATTCACAGATGCATTAATTCCATTGCAGTCTCAGAATCAGTTAATAGTCTTTTC